GAATCTCAAGTGCTTGTCTGTCACCGTACTTATTAAGACGAATCTCAAGTGCTTGTCTGTCACCGTACTTATTAAGACGAATCTCAAGTGCTTGTGTGTCACCGTACTTATCAAGACGAATCTCAAGTGCTTGTCTGTTACCGTACTTATTAAGACGTATGCCGCGCACTCAGCTCTCACCTTGCTTTGATCGACGAGCCGGCCACAAAACCGCGAGATTCCTGCATCGGGCTGTTGCTCTCGCTGCCCCCTGGTGTCATGCACAGCTGCCGTTTCACCGGCGTCCCGTCGGTCGGCCGCTTGCGCAGGATGCTCGGCCGCGGCGACGTCGTGCTGTTGTTGGGAAGCGGCGGCTCGAGCGTCTGACCGTTGGGCAGCGTTGTTCGGACAGTGATTGTGTCCGCGACGCCCGAGAGCCGGTCAGTGGCGTCCGCGCTCACGACTGAAATACACGGCGTTTGCTCAGTGCATCTTATATTATAATTAAAGCTAGAATTAGAATGAGAAAAAATCTAAAAAATTGTAGAAACCAATCACGACGGGTGTTATAATTCGGCCCCGATGACGTCATATCACTGAAGCCCTACATTGTTGGTTGCGAACACGTGACAAACCGCATGTGCAATATATTATAATTTAATATGATATAATTTAGTTACGCAATAATATCGCAGATGCAATATCACCGATGCACGACGACATCGAAAAAACACAACCACGTTGTAGACGAGCAACATTACACACACCTAAACGTCACCGATGTGTAACAACATTGTCCGAAGACGCAACAACAGTTACACTGCAGACGTGTAACATTAAAGTTGTCAAAACATTGCAGACAAGCAACATTACAGAGACAACATCACACGCAGCTAGCATTTTGCATTTCTCCAACACTTATCAACACTTTCCATGTGAAACTGAAATGTATCGAGGCTATGTAGTTTCTTATATCTGGTTAGCAATTCCAAACAGGTGTAGGTTATGCAGTTAGAGACAGGACTACATTCCCTCCCCCTCACCACACAATATTTATACCAATCTGCTTAGATCTGTTGCAAAGATTAGTGATCTGGAGGTCGATTGACCAACAGAACAGTGCTAAATTCTATTTCCGTCCGAGATGAGACGTGGTACACTCTGTCATCGCGAGTGTATGAATGGGAAACTCACAGGTGGGTTCCGTAACAGTGACGTATCCTTGGCGGGGCGGCTGGCCGGTCGGCTCTATGAGCATAGGCTGAGCGAGTCTCAGCGGCACGCCAGCAGACACCTGCAGTGCTGCCGTCTGCACTGACGAGGAAATGCTCGACGTTGGATGCGACGAAACTACGGCAAACAAGTGAACAGCACACTGTTAACTAGTGCACTACACAGAATCACGTGCCCTTTTGTTTGAATTAGGTCCTCTTGTTTTGAAGACGTCGTTGGCAAATTAACTGTCGTTATAATCAAATACGTTATGCCGTTAGCTGATATCCGCTATTAGGTGAGACTATATTTCGCTATATTTTTTTTTCAGATTGTGCATTTTTAAGTGATGATTTTGAAATATTTACTTTAACGGAAAATATTTTGTGAGCAGGAGAGAACTGCGGCAATGAATAACAGGCTCACCCGGTGTGCAGCTGCTGATGGTTGTGCGGAGACCGGCAGAAGCCGGAGCAGCATAACTATGCGCCGCTGTAGAATAGGCTGGTATCTGCGGCCCCACAGCATTGTAGTAATATGCAGCTGCACCCGCCGGTATCGTGGCGAAGTGACTCGTGGCAAGGCTCGAGGTCCTTCATAAAGCGAAAACATTAAAACACTTTTAGCTCATGACATGTAACAAGGACCACTTGTTCTTAAAATGCTATCAATTACCAGAATTTCATAGACTTGACCAATATTGTGCAGGGCCGTCGCCAGGGATCGACTAATGTTGATAGTGTTGAAGCCCAGTCACGAAGGTGCGAAGCGCCGTAAAGGGGAAGAGTGTGTGAGGGGGTTTCCTCCCTGGTGGGGGTCCGGGGGGGACTCCCCACATTTTTGAAATGCTTTGTGGAAAATGGCATATGCTGGCGAGATTAAAAATGTAATTTTAACATTTGAAACACAGTAAAAAGTACATTGCAACTATTTAATTTCACAATTTTAAAAAAAATCCGGAAATGATGTTGAGAGGCCCATGCTTCGCAGGTCCTCTGCTGACGACGTGCACTGTTATGGCTTCAGAGGACTGTAATCAGTGCATCCAGCTTTATATACAACGTACCTCGAATTTCTTGAGTCGGTTATCAGACACGGAACATGATGGTGCTGCTCCTCTGTGTGCCAGCCATGTAGACGCGCGTGGTTGGCTGATTCTCTACGGTTGCTGTCAGTGAGCACACGGGCCGGCCCTTCACCCTGCTGCCATCCTGCACTCGTCTGTTTCTGCACTTGTTGTGGGGTCATACATTGTAGCTGAACTTATGTGGCACGACCAATAACAAAATGAGATACGTCGATGTAAACATCTAAGATAAGGTATGATAAAGAATATTTCACAACGCGTTGCATGACCGATTAAAACGCGCAGCGCGCCTAAATAGTAGAAACACATCAAATAACGTCCTAAAACATTGTATATCGCACATCCCAATGGCGCATAATTATCTTACTCATTCAATGAACAAGTCTAAACAAATGTAACCTTGTCAGCTGAAAAGCTTACATATAGTCAATTTTCCAACTACACCCACGGGAATTGATGTTATGAGTCGTTGCCATTGGTAAGGATGAGACTCGCCGTACTACTGTAGAGAGAATGTTGTGATCGTGCTTAAAACGAAAGACATAGAACACGTTAAGACACATGTAACACATCATGCTTGAAACACAACTATGAAACCACACATATATAAGCAGCTAGCAGACATTCCGCATTTCACCACTGGATAGCTACTCTCTGTTGCCACTTACCCCTCTCGATCCCGAAAATCCACGGCTGCCACAAGGGAACATAGATATGAATGATGATCTGCCATAATAACATCTACGGCCTGCCAGCATCGAGGTGTATATATTTTGCTGATAAATAGCGGTTTAAGACGCACCATAATACACATCACATTTTAAAACACAATTCATTTAAATGTTACCCGACATTTACATACAGTTAGAAGCAATGCTCATTTAAGGCAAGCACTTCTCTACTTGAAACAGGATCTTGCGAGCACAGACCATTATTACGCAACACGTGCGTGAATCGTGTGTGCATGCGTCTGTGTGTTTTGCATGTGGTGCATTGCCGGACTGTGTGTGTTCACGTAGTTGTACGTGCCATGTAATGCGTGTATGTCTGTGTGGTGTTCGCACGTATGGCGTGTAACTGGTTCTGTGTGTTCGCATGTATGTGCGAGCAATGTAAAAATGTTGTGTGACGTCTGTGTCGTGCATGTGCATGTATTTGGCGTGACTTCTGTGATGTGTTCGCACGTATGTGTTGTGGACTTGTATGCGTGGTACGTGTGTGTGTGTTCGCACGTATGTGTGTGACTGAACTGTACGGGTGTTGACGTGTTGGTGTAGTACTGTTGTGTGTTCGCACGTTAATGTGTGTGATGTATGCGTGTACGTGTGGTGTGTTCGCACGTATGTGCGTGCATGTATGCGTGTACGTCTGTGTGTGTTCGCATGTATGTGCGTGCATGTATGCGTGTACGTCTGTGTGTGTTCGCACGTATGTGCGTGCATGTATGCGTGTACGTCTGTGTGTTCGCATGTATGTGCGAGCATGTATGTGTGTACGTCTGTGTGTGCATGTGCATGTATGCGTGTACGTCTGTGTGTTCGCATGTATGTGCGTGTACGTCTGTGTGTACGTCTGTGTGTGTTCGAACGTATGTGCGTGCATGTATGCGTGTTCGCATGTGCGTGCATGTATGCGTGTACGTCTGTGTGTGTTCGCACGTACGGTGCGCTTCACACAGCTTTCTCACCTGGCTTGGAAGTGATCTGCTGCTGCGGCGACGACGCAACAGCGGCGGCGACCTTGTGCTGCTGCTCTCGTATCTCTCGCGCGTGCGTCACCGGCAGCGCGTGCATCGACGGGTGAGACACGTGCGAGCTCAGCAGATGCGGGAACGCAGTGGCGCCGGCGTGGTGGCCCGCGGCAGCGAGTCGCACGCCGCCGCCCGCCCCTGCTGTCGCCTGCATCAGCATCGTCTGCTGCTGCTGCTGCTGCTTGGGCGGCGGGGTGTGTGCGAGTGCTGCCGACGGCGGCGACTTTGGCTTTGCGGGCGGCGCCCTCTGCTGGGTGCTGGCCGGTTTCATTGGCCTCGGATGCAGCAGCTGCTTGGCCGTGGGTGAGTGGTTGCGCGGGGGTGCCACATGCTGTGGGGGGACGGCCTGCACCTGCTGTACGGGCGGGGGGCGTGACTGGTGCGGGGGCGGGGAGCGTGGGGGCCGGGCCATCGCCGCGCCCGGCATTGACGCGTGTGCGCGCGACGGCGGCGGTGTGCGGGCGCGCACCAACGTCGCCTTCTGCGCAGCATACGGTGGCGCCACCATGAACTGTCCCTGCAGCTGATGAGCGATGGCCGGAAGTGGCGCAGCGGCGACCTTGCTGTGTGCAACAGGGGGCGCCGCTGCGGCACCCGGGTAGATTCCGTGCTGGTACATCGACATATTGATTGGATGCTGCTGCTGTTGCTGCTGTTGCTGCTGTTGCTGCTGCGGTTGCTGGTGGGGCAGCATCTGCGGAGTGACAGGCTGTGGGACTGGCTTCGTGTGGGAGAGAGGGGGCGCCACCACTGTCGCTCGCACGGCGGAAGCTTCCAACACACGGCTACTCGTATGTAGGCTACCGGCATAAACCGTCCCTGCACTTGTCACTGCCGCAAGGTGCGGTCTGCGAAAGAAATAAGCAGACGTGTCAATTCAAAGCAATGTACAGAAGGCCGGTGCGCCTTGGTCAGTTCTGAGATAATTATTACCATACAGAAAATACTACTATTATACCACACTGGAAAAAAATTTATAACTGAAATGTTAATGACAATGACCTTAAGGGTTAGTGCTAATGGGTGTCCTTCCAGTGGTTTGCCTTCCTGGGTGTCAGTGAAGAAATTTAATCCCATGTTGGTAATACAACTTTTAAAATGAATTAAAAGAAACGACTTCTTGTGAGCAACACATTTTCCAAGGCTGATACGACACTGCGATACTTCTGCGCTTTCGACTTTTGATGTAACAGAGAAACTTGCTTTTTTAAAATAATGAATACAGGATATCACAACAAGGCACTAATATAGTAACTGACGAGTAATATTTCTTTAATGACACTGGGGCTAGTCAACAAACCAGTTCAAGCGTACCTTGGGAAATCAAGGTGCTGGGAAGAGGTGTTATTCCGTATGCCAGTAGATGTTGCTGCAGGCTTTGCTATAGCAATTAGAGATGATCTCGGCTGTGAATCGCAAATGCAATATAAATTTCTATTTTCTTTAGGTTCATTTTGTTATACAAAAAGAAAGGTCATTCCTGCTCATCATATTAAGGAATTTTCATCCATGTCATTGAAACATGTAATATAGATTACATTACTACACCGATAAATCGATGATAGAGGGTTTCTTCTGAAAGAAAATTCCTTAATTCCTAAGAGACAAAGGAGGTAATGGCCAGTTTGGGAAAAAAACGCGCTTGATGGATTCAAATACAGGATGTATTGATATACTTATAGGTATATACTATAGATACAGGATATACCTATCAGTAAATACATGAACATTTTCACAACGGCGATGTTAAATTTGACAACGGCGGTGCGCCACTGTGCCTCCTATGTATAAGAAACCCTGTAATACAACAACCATTAAAGGACAAAATCACCTAGCAAAAATTCTACTAGTTTTATTATTAAATTTGATATAATCACACCTGCATTGATACACCTAGTGGCATCACCATTGACTGTGAGGGCCTCAGTATGGCTGAGGTAATGGCAGGCTTCGGTGTAGTTATTGCCGCTGCTGCGGCTGCACCTGCATCCACAAGACAAAATGATTTTAACAATGCATTGTGACCTGTCACACTATCGTTATTGCATACCTACTCCTTGAGCGAGCACATGCAATGCTACTTGCGATATACTATATGCAATTTAAAACTATTACAAAGTACCACTGAATACCTTCACTGTCATAATATTTTATGTAATGCCCTTATAAAAGTTTGTGGCTGCCGCTGATGCTGATGATGATGATACTGCTGCTGCTGCTGCTGCTGCTGCTGCTGCTGCTGCTGATTATGATACTGCTGCTGCTGCTGATGATGATACTGCTGCGGCTGCTGATGATACTGCTGCTGCTGCTGCTACTACTGCTGCTGATGATACTGCTGCTGCTGCTGCTGCTACTGCTGCTGATGATACTGCTGCTGCTGCTGCTGCTACTGCTGCTGATGATACTGCTGCTGCTACTACTGCTGCTGCTGATGATACTGCTGCTGCTACTACTGCTGCTGCTGATGATACAGCTGCTGCTGCTGCTGCCACTGCTGTTACCGCTACCACCACCACTACTACTACTATTCTTTAGCTAGCAGTGACTTGCCACGTGGTAGGTGAGCAGGAAACACTTGCTGCCGACTCTGTCCTGGCGTCGCCGGGTGACCGGAGAATGCCCTCACAACGGTAGCAACAGGAACATTGCTCCCTGCTGCCGACAGAGAATCTCCAGTCCCTACACACGGAAGCCACAAATGTTGAATACAGCAAACAGCCATACTGACTGACAAAGTACAGTGAAACCCCGATTTTACGTGAATTCGGATATAACGCGATCAGTCATTGAGACATTTATTTGCTCTTTTCAGAACTGAAAAGTTCTTTGGCCAGTTAAGCCGGCCTTAGGTCGAATAGCGATTGAATGCGACGCAACGCGGTACATTGCAACTCACTGCGACCGAGTGCTTAGGTCGCCAGCGACGTGACTGACAGCGACGAGCAGCGACTGACACTGGCAACAACAACAATTTATTCGTGGAATTCTTTAATTCAAAGGTAATTTCCTTGCCAGAAGGTAAACGTGCAAAAAACGGGCCAAATAGGGTGAAAATAGGAGTGTTTTAGGATGTTAGGTCAAAATTGGGTCAGTTTATACGCTGATTTTCTTGAACCCGATTTAGCGCGACCTCCGCTTTTTTCGCGATGACACTTTATGGACCTCAACGATCGCGTAATAACGGGGCCACACTGTATCTTCTGCACTGGGCAAAGGGGCAAAAGAAGTTAGCCAAAGTATGCCATTATTAATCTAAGGAAATACACAATGCCTTTTGACTTTTCAGACAGTCTTTTTATTCTACCTAGATGACTGGACTACTGCTTACATACACGAGAAATGCAATTAAAAAACAATGCTCAAACATTTTACCTTTCCAGGATACTGACCAAAATATCAAAAACCAAGAGGTATGCAATTATCTGACAACTAAGTTCTTGCGAGAGATTTATGCGACACACGGTTTCAAGCATAATAATAGATAGTGTTTCCCCTGCATTGACACGAGCGAAGCGGGCCGCCTCGCTCAAATTCTCAGCCGCCACACAGAAATTTGTCCAAAACACTGCCTCGCTGACGAAAATCAATGTTCTTCCATAGAACAGTGCAGCTAACGCACCAAAATAGCTTGGAATGCACCAAATTGCACCATTTTTTTCAAAAATTTCCCCGAGCCCCGGACCCCCCTAGCAGGAGTGGGGGAGCACCTGTGGTGCTCGCTTTGCTAGGACCTCAAAACGCGCAAACACACCAAAAAAATTTACCACCTCATACAACTTTTTGGCCAGAGGAAACACAGATAGAGATTGACTAATACCTGAAGCAGTAACAGAGGACTTAGTCATAGGCTGGTTGACTGCTGGCTGCACTGCAATAGGTGCTGGCGCTATCACTCTCACAGCTGTTGGTGCTGTCATCCTCAGATGGGCCTACATGAAGTGAGGAAAGATCATTGTAAATAGTTATCAAAGTATAAAGTTATCAAATGCTTTTACTTAATAAAATGTTTTTTTTCAATTCGAGGAATTTTAGATAATCATCCACTCTTTCCATTCACAAGTCATTTCTAATAAATATTATTAGAACTGAATACACTGCTAAATAATTTAATTATTGTTTAAAATCACGTTGGCTTTCTAATATCAATTATCATAAATGTGCGATTGGTGGGAAACTCCAATTTATTTGCTTAGCAAATACCTGTTTCTTAAATTTGAATAGCATTTAAACAGAAACCACATTTTAGAATTTTGCAGAATATAAGTATCAATATTGTATAAAATACCTAAACATGCCCATTATCAGACATTCACTTTATTTATTAAAGTAATTACTTCATAACTGTACTGCAATCAAGAAAAATATATAGTGAAATATATTCTAATCCAATGTGACTGTTACTGTTACTCCAGTATAAAAATTCCCATGGATTTATACTGTTATGGTATATAAAATAGCAAATACTGCAGCCGCATCTTTTCTTATAGTGACAATCCCCTTAACATTGTCAACCACCAGACAAAAGTGTATATCATAGAGCGATGTAGTGGTTGTAGACTGGTACAACATCTCTATTGCTGAATTCAAGTTACCATGTAAAAGCACAGAGACAGGGTCTCGCGATAAACAAGTGGCATCATCATGTAACTGCGTCAACACAATGTCAACAAACCGACTTCAATCGTTGTATATTTTTTGTGAAAATAATGATGTGCGAGTGTTCTGAGACATGTTTACCTTACTTTAGACACTTACTGTTATGCAAACAATACCAGTAAGTATTGTAGTGGTCGGAAAAAGACGAGAATGGTCAGGAAGACTGTTTGAGATAAATAATCACGGGTCAGTGACTTGTGGACACTACTGCCATGGCTCCATGTGACTGCATAGCCCTCTGACAAAGTTACAAATGTTTTGAATTTCGAGTTTGGGTTGTTCCAGATGGGTAACTAATAGTAATAGGGCTGTAACGATACACAAGCCTCTAGATTCGATCCGGTTCTAGATATTAGCCTCTCGATTGGATTCCTTCGATTCGATTCCCAAAATATTGAAATGTTATCTTATTTTTTATATTTTCATTATTTTGCAACAATAAATTATTAGAAATTGCCAATGAATACTAAATGGTGAATAGACTAGAGAGTCTAGAGAGTATATATACACTGCACAGCCACTGAGTAACATTGGTGAGTAACACTCCACAGTATATAGCGTAGTGCCGCCATCTATTGGAGGAAAAAAGTGGTATCGAAGTGGAATAAAAAATACGGGGAAAAATATCGAGGATCGGATCGAGGGAAGAGAATCGCGATCCGATTCGATTCCGGTGGATCGTTACATCCCTAGTAAGTAATAACAAAAATGTAATTGTATTAATGCTTAACTACTACTTAACAGAACAACCTCTTGTTTATGAAGAGGTTGAAATACATGCATAATACAGGGGTAGAAATTAGAAATTAACTTTTGAACAAGGAAGTCCAACGGACTCCCTGCCCTCAAAAAGAGGGAGTCCACAGCAAAATGAGGAAGTCCGCAGTCTGAAGTTCAAAACTAAAGATATTAACAATAATAACGTGTGTGCTTATTTTGAAGATTCATGCGGTTGCACGTCTGCCAAATTGACTTTTGGTCATTTGTTGAAAAAATATGGCCATTCCGCAAGCGAGGTCGTGCTCTGGAACGAACTAGTTAGTATAGCAGAATTTTCAGGGAGTCACACGGACTCCTGCATATATATGTCAAATCACCTGGAGTCCGACAGAAAATCAGGGAGTATTTCACTCCAAACTTGCATTAATGTTGCACACTGATAATGGAACTAAAACTAAGCAGAATAAAAGCCATTTCAATCCTTCTTCTCTAAAGTTAATAAATAATAAATATCCATATCTGTATGGTTAAAAGTTGCCACCACCAACATTGTAAACAAACAATCTTTGACAGTACTTTTAACATATTTAAGAATTTGTTGAATAATAAACCACAATTTGTTAGGCAGCATAATTTAAACCTAATTTAAATTAAACTAGAAACGAGCAGTTGTCGCCAACTGCATGTATCCCCCGTGATCTAGTATGAATGGAATATCTCTGTAAGGACGTAGAAGGCAGGTAAAGTTAAATAAGTCACAGATGTGCCTCAGATGTGCAAGTATATGGAATCTGGTTACCCTAGGAGGCCGAAGAGGAAATGTAAGTCGACGGTCAAGGGCAGTGGTGGTTTTGGTATGCAACAGACCTTCTCCCCAAGATGTGTAAGCATACCAAGTTAGGTCGCGCTAGGTCAATTAAGGGCTGAGTTAGAGAGCGGAAAGGAAATATGATCAAGGTCAAGGTAAAGGTGAAATAAAGGTCGCAGTGACCTGGTGGGCAGTTTTTACCTGATCTCGGATGATCTTCAAATTTGGCATGAAGGTGCGTTATGGTAAAGCGAAGACGCCAATCGTTTTTGGTGTTGGCGGAGTCATCGTTGCCATGGTAACAACATTTTTGTGGAAATATTGTAGAACCTGTAACTTGTGCTGTTTTTACCCGATTGTCATGGAATTTGGCACACAGGGCCGATATAACATGTCCTATATATATATATATGTATATATATATATTTGATGACAATCATAAATTTAAATATAAATTTTAATACAAATATAAATTTCATGACAATCGGGTAAAAAGTGCAGAAGTTACAGGTTCTAGAATATTTCGACAAAAAATGTTGTTACCATGGCAACGATGACTCCGCCCACACCAAAAACGATTGGCGTCTTCGCTTTACGATAACGCAGGTAGAGCGCTCACAAGGAAATCTATGCGGCGACGGAGGCGGCGCGACGATGCCAAACCCATATTATCCCCACGAACTTCGTTCGGGGGATACAATTATGCCTACAATTAGGTTTATTATATTTTCTGGTATATTTTTATGAAACAATCTAAGACATAGAGGACATACTTGTATAGCTGGCACAATCGGTCTTGCAGTGGACCGTGCTGTTGACACATCAACTACTGTTAGTCTGTGCACTGGGTGCTCTGCTGACCTGTGACCATCAGTTGAACTTTGACCTCCTACAGAAGACTGCGCTGGAGATCCACTTGTTCCTTCAGGATTTTCAGACGACATTGTTCATAGTAATGATTGTCGACTAAAACAAAACAACAACTTTATTATAGCTTTACGACAGGGTTATAGAACTGTAGTTACTATACAGATGCAACTAGCAACAACACTTTAATCGTAGTCTCTATCCACTTTGGTCGAGTCTGCCATTAATTTGGTTTGTGATTTTTGTATATATATATATGGAGGTGGGTAAATAGGTTAATCATGAAGACTTTATAGTGTCTTCTGGCACTGACAGCTACTGCTAAACATCTGAACTTTGCTCTGGCCAAATTTTCTGCCACCGTGGTTCAAGACTATCTGTAGCGAATAGTGGCCGTGTCACGGAACTGTCGGAAGCAGCTGCACAATATACCATCACAGTTTAATGATGAAATTAGTGCATGATGATGAATAGCGCACCGGGGAGAAATACACATTTTTCCGGAAATAGCCGAACGGTAGTGTACTAACTGTCATATGGCGCGAACGATTTGAGTTACATTTCTATAAATTCTAGCTATTATATACACATGTGTTAGCCTTAATCTCTGTGAATTTTGAAGCGCGATTGGTCTAATTAATTAGCAAATATGCACGCATGGCGTCGCATGGTATCGTTCATAGGTAATATACGCGCAGCTATATGGCCCGTAGGAACACAGGCACTTGAATTTTGAAACGTCTCAATAAAATAAAAAAAGGTAAATAAACACGAAATGTATTTACTACCAAAGACTTAATGTTTCTCTACTCTATTTCGCCTATAATCACCTGTAAATGCCGGTTAAATGCTCATCTGCAACACACAAGTACGCTGCACGCCCGCGCTGTGCACAAACAACATGAATAAGAGAGCAGGTAGGAAAGCTTGATAGAACAAGTGCCGCGGAGCGACAGCGCTCATCTAACGTCTACTGCGGTGACTCTGTGGTGGAGTGGTGGGATTCTAGTAAACCCTGTTAGT